ATTTTTTATGTTTGCAAAATGTCTATACTTTCTATCTTTGGTATGCAGAATCAACACCTAAGCATTACTTATTTTCAATTTAAAAGCATTACTGCTCTTCAAGGTTTTTGTTACTTGACTGTTCTAATTTATTGTAGTCTCATACCATAGTTAGTTCATCATATGTATTATCTTCCAATAATATGTGTAGTGTCTTTTTGTTGTTTATATAAAATGTAATCTCAGATGATCTTTCCTTGGCTTAATACAATAAATAAAACATTTTTGCTGTACAATTATGTAATACAAATATATAAATGTCATCTCAATTTCTGATACTAAAAGAACAACCAATTCATTCTTATAACCTACACAATTAATTTATTATTCCCACCCACATATGAATACTAAGCTGAAAAGCTAGTATGTTTGAAAATGCCAAGAAAAATTATGCCAATTATTACAAATTCTGAAATATATAAATCTTTTCACTTTTCTGTCTTAATCACAGTGGAAGAAAGGCATTTTTCCCTGTATCCTCTGGAAATAAGGAAGTCTTTATATTTTATTGATAAACAACAGAGTAGAAAATCAGTTCTCAATGATAAAGAAAAGGAAAAGGGAATAGAAGTCATATAGAAAATATACTTAAGTGAAGATAAATTTCTTCATCCTCAGGCATTCTGTGATGGTGAATTCAAATTGGGGCAACGAAGTACTAGACACAGTGAGAAGAAAAATAATCAGATGAAAGACAAACTGGTACTCCATGAAAAAGGCCCTCTGTGGATTAGTCATCAAGTAAATACCTGGAAGCTGGGGTGAGGAGAAGCCAAGATTACTCTCTCCATTGCACGAAGGACTAGCAAACCAACCAAACAACCATCAGTGGCAAAGAGAGACACCCTGGTAAAACTAGGAAAATAACGTTATTAAAAAAAAAAAAAAGCTCACATTGATTTCGAAATATTTTAAATATTCTACTATTATTCTGTTAAGCCAGAATGAGCAAAATGGAGTATTAGGGAACTGAAAATAACCAAATTCTAGTCAGCAGATCATAGACCTTAAAGGGATAGAAACTGGAGGGACTAGGATGGAAGCAATGACCTTCAAGTAGAAAGATTCCCTAATTTTCTGATTTAAAACATGGGATTCTTTAAAAATACACCTTCCCAGTTTTATTTACTAGCTTCTGAATTGATCATGTTGTATGTTGTTTCATGCTAGTTGAACATCTATCATAGCATCTAGAGTGCTTGAAGAGATGGCACAGTTAGAAAGTCCACTTCCTGGTTCAGTGTAGCAGATAGAGGCAGGTACTACCCAAGTCAGATGCTCATAAGGCGTAGGACAGAAACGCTTAGTGGCAGCAGATGAACAGACACAAGACTTATTTAACCAAAGGTTAAAATTTAGCTGCCCACAGGCCAGATCTGGGCTACTGATGTCATTGGTTTGAACAACTATGCGCTTTTAAATTAAAAAGGAAAACATTGTCACAAGCAAGAAATTGAATATTTTTACATTCAAAATCTAACTTCCCTGTTTCTTTGAAAACATCCGAAGTCCTAATAGCACGGTCTGTCTATAGCAGCAGTTCTCAACCTGTGGGTCACGACCCTTTGGGGGTCGAACAACCCTTTCACAGGGGTCGCCTAAGACCATCGGAAAACAAAAAAATATTTACATTACGATTCATAACAGTAGCAAAATTACAGTTATAGAGTAGCAACAAAAATAATTTTATGGTTGGGGGTCACCACAACATGAGGAACTATATTAAGGGGTCGCAGCAGTAAGAAGGTTGAGAACCGCTGGTCTATAGGACAATAATCAGTCAGAGGTGAGTAGTGGCTACCCCTTTAGACAGTTCATTCTCTGTTAATTTGCCATGGCTTCCACCATTCCCAGTTGCCTTACATCAGCCTGATTATTTCATTATGGTACCTGTCTGACCCCTTCAAGTAACTTCCAGTTGCCCCTGCAATTTTAACGTTTATTCATTCAGTCAATGTCTCATTTCTATCAAACTTGTACTTGTGATTTTATTTATTCCTATTGTCTTGAAGCAACTAAAATCCCTAACTTAGCCTATATTCTAATCTGTAAGCATCTATTTTCTTTTTGTTTTCTAGTTATTTATATTAGGATAGTTATTTCTTCTCAAAATCTACAGGTTCAAAATAACATACTCATTGACTAAACCCAACCTAATTTTGGTTTTTCCATTTTTCTTTCCTGTGTTATGGCACCGTCACCCTCACCATCACCTGCAGTGGAAAACAATTCATTTTCCCTTACCCACATTATCTTGTTTGTCAAGTTTCCCTCATTCAGGAAATATTTATAGAGTACCTACTGTTACCAGGCACTATTCTAGGTAATTAGGAAACAGCAATGGTCAAGACAGATTCTCAAAACAAATAAATAAATAAAAATTAAAAAATGATCAGGTAATTATAGATATTCATTTAAACAAGATGACGTTCCATAAAAAACACTGCATAGCTGTTTTAGATTGTCAGGGAAATTCATTCTGATCAGGAATCATTTAAGTAGAGGTATGTGTTCTAAAAAAGCTACTCATGGGAAGATGGAGGTGGAAGAATATTCTAGTCAAAAGAAACAGAGAATGCAAAGGTCCAAGTTCAAGGGGTTTAGTGTGTTTAGGCAACAGAAAGAAACATCCAGTGGGTAATGGTAAGTAGGAAAGTGGTTATAGATGAGGTTAGAGTATTAGGTAAGAGCAAGGTCATGCAAGGCTTAACAATCATGTTAAGAAATTCTAATTTTATTCTAACAGCAATGGGAGTTCATTGCATAGTCTTTTAAAAAGGAAGTGATGTCATCTGATTTAGGTTTAAAAATATCAGTCCGGAAGCTTAGGACGTGAGTCAGGTTAATCTGGTAGCAGTATGAAGGATAGGACTAACATGGTAGCAATGCAAATGGAGGGATGTATTGATATGGCACAGTAGAAATATACCACTGGCAGAATGAAGGAGGAAGGGAACACTGCCATATTTTCATTTTCTGCAACCAGATGAGTAATGGTGCACCTTACTAAGAAGTTAGGGAAGATTGGAGGATGAGAAGGTTTGGTGTCTAGACCATGCTAATTTTGGGAGGTATATTCAAAACATACACCCAGTGATATAAATTGATCACATAAATATACTGATCTGAGTTCTACGGAGCAGAGCTGAAAATAAATACGTATTTGAGAATAATCATTATATAAGCAGACTTTAAAGCCACAGGACAGGATAAGGACACTTAAGATAATATTTCCAAGAGGTTTTGCATTGATATAGAAAAGAGCCAAGTATGATCTCTTGGCACCCCATTACTTAGAGTTAAAAAAAAAAACAATGGATAAGCAAAGGAGGCTGAGAAAGAGCTACCAGGAAGGTAGGAGATAAACCAGAAGTGTAAATCTCACAGAAACCAAGAGTCAGGACTACAAAGATGAGAGGTTCTACAATGGTGTTAATGGCTGTTTTCTAGATTCTATCTCATGTTGAATTACATTGACAAATATTCATCAGACATTTACTATACAAACATTATGCCAGGTACTCTGGGGAATAGGAAAAAGAGACATACTTACTGATCCAGAAAATACAGCTTCTAGATCAAAGCTTCTTTCACAGTCTATAAAGGACTTTAACTGCATCCATTTATTACTGAAAACCTGTGCGTGCGTGTGTGTGTGTGTGTGTGTGTGTGTGTGTGTGTGTGTGCGCATTACTCTACTAATAGGTACCAAAATTTTTTAAGAAAATGCGATTTGGCTTTGAAAGGCATCATCTAGTCAGAGTCTTGGTCCAGATAGGAGGGTGAAACCAGAAGGTATCTATCTGGAGGATTTATGTGGGATGGTGCTGGGATGGGTGAGCTAAAATTTGATCTGGAGAGCTTGGGGCAGGAATAGCATTTCAAAGACAGTGCTTTGCGTGGAAGCCGCCACAATCCTATGTAGCTAGTGTTCAGGATAAGTAATAGAAGTCTTTACTTAATTATGGTTAATGTTGTCTAAGTGAGTAGGGTAACAAGTGAGTTTTAAAATATAAAACTAAAGTTGCAAGAACAATCTCTATCTACACTTAGTAATTTCCATGGAAAAGCATTTAAAGAGCTTTTGGTTTTTTAATGCAAAAGCCCTGAAAAATTTGTAAATGGCAGGAAATTTTTGGCAGATTTTGTGTTTCTTTTCTGTATTTTTTCCTTTCTCGTCATCTCAAGCGAGGAGCTGGACCTTTGGTATTTCTTTTCTTCAGAATTTTGTATAGGTGAAAAGAACAACCTGACGAGCTGCTGGAAGACACATCCACCTGGGCTAGAATGAGTGTGTGTGTGAGTGTGTGTGTGCAAGCCTGAAGTCAACAAAAAGGTTGTAAAGCCTGGCTTAAAAGCAGCAGAGCCTCTAGATACGAAGGAAACATGTAGTCATGGACAAAGTGTTCTCCATGGCAGTCAGTAAAGCCTAATGATACACACAAAAGTGGCCTGGCATGCTTGCTCCAATATAGGACTCTAGGACCTTGGCATAACTCTGGAAGTTTGAGAAAAGCCATAAGAATGACTGAAAATGAGTTTCCCATTGGTATTCAATTCACATAAGAAAAAAAAAAAGTAAATACATTTCTATGTGAGTTAGTTTTTGTATTAACTCAGTAATTATGATCAGTTGTTTTACACACAATTGAATTATGCAGAAATTATTAACATACAGATATAGAATAGAACAGAGATCACACACACACACACACACATATGTGTTAAATAAGCGATCACAATTCTGTGTATACGGTGTTCAGGAAGCAATAATAAAAATTTATTTACCTAATGTTAATAATGTTGTCTAAGCAAGTAGGTCAACCAGATAGTTTTAAAATATAAAACTTAAGTTGCAAGAGCAAACTTTACCTGTACTTTGAGTGATGTCTACTGTTAAGCATTTAAAGGGCTTTTTCTTGAATGTAAAAGTATGTACATACATACAGGACAATACTTACGGCCAGGGAGGGTTTGTGCAGATATCCAACTTGAAGCATTGCCATAGCCAGCATTGGTGCTGGCAGCCACTTGGAATCTATACCATCTAAATTTCTTTAATCCATATACGGTCTCTTCAGTTAGGTCAGCTTCATAAAGGTACTGAATGTTTTGATGTTCAACACAGTCTTCAGATTCCCATTCTCCGCATTTTTGAGCTCGAAGTTGAATGGTAATCTTGTAATTTTGGAAGTAGCCAAAGATAGTGTCAGGTCTCACCCACGTCAATGTTGCACTAGTTGACTGAACATTCGAAAACGCAATATTTGTAGGAACACTGGGAACTAAAAATGAAAGGGAAAAAATGGAAATGACTAGAATTACCAAACATTTTGCAAACAGAAGGAACAGGACTTAAAAATATTTCTTTATTATGTACCTAGTGGCATAATAGAGTATCTCTTGTTACAACTGCCCTTAGATTAACATCCCTACATTCAATGAGCAGAGCCTTAAGGTGATGATTCAGAAACCAGTGGTTCAAAGAGGTAGAGGGCAAAAAAACTGATTATTTTTTATTCCCAATTTTGCTCCCCAATTCACTCATAAGTTGCTTATATAAACAAATGTTGGCTTCATATATAAGCAGTGGTACAAAAGAACATTACATGCACATATAATCCTATGTCCTTCCCTAGGTATGGTCTGAGATTTTAACATTCAGTTCCCAAGAAAGACATTCTTATATTTAAATGTTTAGATAGATACTAGTGAATCTTATATATAGTAAATGTTGATTAAGAAGTGACTTTAAAGTAACAAGATTTTTAAATCAATTAATAATTTATAGAAGTAGTTGATTTTTATTTTATCTTGCATATATTTAAAGTTAATGAAACATTTTCTAGAACATCATACAGCACACTGATATTAATACATAGAGGTAGGTATCTGTAGATTACCTATAATTACGTGGTCCTACTTGGAGCCACTTACTAGATGTCATATTAACCATTGGTTTGCTATATGAATACCATGTGTCAGGCTCTGAGCCTGGTTAGGAGTTAGGATACATAGGCTTATGTCTTGTTTTTAAGAAACAGCCATTTATTGGACAAGAACCATAATCATGTCATGGTTAGAAATATGAAAGAACAATGAGCTAAGTGGTTTGGGCATCTTCTCTAACCATGTCTTTTTCTGTATATGTGCAAGGGCTTTTGCTCAGAAGGCAGAGATAGAATAATAACAATGACTTGAATGAAAATTATATAATTTATAAAAACTGTATGTTAATATTCACACTTAAAAATAAGACAATTATTAAATTAGCACGTTGAAAACCCATTCATTCCTAAAGATATTAATTCACATTAATTCAACATTCAATATCGAATGAGCACCCAATTTGTGTCAAATACTATTATTGATGCTGGGAATACAATAAACAAAACAGACCAGAGTTTCTACCTTTGTGGAATTTATATTCAGGAGGTTTATATACAATAAAATACAAGTCAAGTATTATATATATAGTATTTTGGACGATGATTAGTGTTATGGAGTAAAGCAAGGAAAGGAAGGAGAGAGGTTATCCCAGATATCCTGAATTTTTAACTTGAGTAGTTAGAGAAGGCCTCTCTGGTTAGAAGACATGGAATTCCTGATGAAGGTGGAAGAACTAAGCATGTGAATACTTGGGGGAGGAACATTTCCAGCAGGGGAAAATGTATTATTAAAAGCTCTAAATTGGAACCATGCTTGGTATATTTGAAGAATCACAAGGAGGCCAGTGTGGCTCAAAGGAGTTGAAGTCTGAGCAAAAACACTGAAGGCTGGATTGTATACAACATTATAGGCCACTGTGATGACTTTCATTTGAGCAGAGGAGTTACAGGCTCTAACATATGTTTTCATGGAGTCACTCTAGCTACCGTGTGGAGAATTGACCGAAGGGAGACAAGGGTGAAAACGGAGAATAATTAGCAAACTATTGCAATATCAACACAAGAGATGATGACCTGGACCAGGATCATAGCAGCAGAAATGAAAGGAAGCACTCAGCTTCTAAATGCAATTTGAAGGAGAGCTGATAGGATTTGTTCATGTGTGACATGTGGGTACAAGAGAAAGAGAGTAGCGGAGGAAAGCTCTATGGTCTTTGGATTGAGCAAACAGAAAGATGAAGTTGCTGTTAACCAAGAGCAGGATGATCACAGAAGGTGTATGCTTTGGGGAGAAAGATTAAGAATTTATTTGAGCATGTTAACTTTGAAATGCCTACCAAATACCCAGAAAGAGTTGTCAAATAGTATACGGATGCATGAGTCTGGAGTTCTGCAGAGAGGTCTAGGCTTTAATTTAAAATTCTGGATTTCCTCTTAAATTTTTACTGAATTATCTACATACCTATAGCTTATATGTTTACCGAAATCCAAAAGAGAAGAGATAGTCTGATGCAATGGAAAACAAATAGTAAATTACTTAAAGCCATCAGATTCAATGGACCATATTCAATTACTCTGTTTTCAAATACTAATATTTATCATCAACGATTACTGCATTTAATCAAACATTAACCTTTCAAGTAGCATTACTAACAGAACACTTCATATGGTACTTACAACACACCTTTATTCTATCTTCAGTTAAGTAGAAAAACAATTATAGAAAAAAATTTAAGAAAAATTTACCTTTATAGATAAAGAAATTTTAGAATGGGCTAAATAGAACTTCCTAATTTATTCAAATCCCTCAGCCACTAAGTTTGAACACAGACCACTTGAAGATAAGACACAGTTTCAAACTATTCTAAAACAAAGCAGAGAAATATGACTGATTTGGGGGTTTGGGGAAAATTTTAAGAAAAAAGGTGGGGTTTTCCTGATTATAAAGAGAGAGATTCTAGAAGAGGGGGTAAGGTGATCTAACTTAAGTTTGACTATAGTTTATATACAAACAGAATAACAATTATTTGGCAATAACAAACAGAAAGGCTGTATAATAGCCTGGGGACAGGCTGTGTCAGAGGGACTTACAGATAGCTTGTCAGGCAATGGAAAGCTATCAAGGTGTCAGAATAAGATATTCAAAAGTGCATCTTATCAAGTCCATTTTGGTAATTGCAGAAGAGGAAAAGGGACTAAATCTTAGACCACTTGATTTGTTCAGGAAAGAAGGGAAAAGATGGCAGCAACAGGAAAGAAGTAAAGTTTTAGATCTATTTTGGTGAGAGATGATCTTGGTCAACTTGGCTTTTTATGTCTGACCTTTATGTAGGCAGGTGTCCCCTAAGATTCCTGGCCCCTGCACACACACCTTCTTCCAGTTTTTCAACCAAACACTGATATAGATGCCAATGTGATGACATTTTGCAGCTGTAATTAGGAATTCACATCAGTTTACTTGAAAACAGGGAGACTATCCAGTGGGCCTGACTTTATGACATGAGTCCTATAAAAGAAGAGACTTTTCTTTGGCTAGTTAAAAAACAGGAAGTAAGACACAGAGCACAAGATATACAAACAGTTCTCCACTGCTGACTTCGAAGAAGGAGGGGGCCACATGATGAAGAATTCAGGGCATCTCTCAGTCCTACATGGTAAGAAACTGAATTCTGCCACAACCATGTGACCTTGGAAGAGAACTTGAGCTCCACATGATAGGACAGCTGACCTTGATTTTAGCTTGTGAGACTCTGAAGAGAGAATCCAGGCACAGCATGCCCAGACTTCTGACTTACGGAACTGGGTGTGAATACATGGATGTGATTTTAAGGTGTAAGTGATAATTCGTGACACAACAAAGTAAAACTAATACAACTTTCCTCTAAAAAATGGCTAATCTATACTTATTTAGCCTCTGCTTAAATATATAGAACAAAGAAAAACTCAAAATCTTGAGGCTTTACTTTAAAATTTATTTCCAGATAGCTCTCTTAGTTCATACAGCCTTCATTATTTTGAATTGATATCTACTTTTCTATAAATCCGAGATCTACACTGAAAACAAACCCACCTCAAATAGGTCTAATAATATTTTCATCTCCACTTCCTAACATTTCTACCAAAGATCTAGAAAGGTTTTGATTCTGCATTCATATCAATAAAAAAAGATGGAGCAATTACTCCAAAATGTGTTTATCTATATATTAGATACATGCAAATGTCTATGTACATTAGATTGTGTCTCTGAAGGTTTAGATTAATGCTTGTAACACAGTAGGCATTTAATAAATATATATATATATATATATATATATATATATATATATATATATATATTTTTAAGTTGAGCCATCCTGCCACCTATTGGAAGCTCAGTGGCTGCTCAGCTCGGGCTGGGAATCAAACCGCTGTTGCTCAGAGCTCACACTCTTTTTTGTTTTTTAAAGATTTTTATTGGGGAATTGGGGGATGGAAAACAGCATTGGAGAATTGGGGGAAGGGGAACAGACAAGTTGTTGTCCTTTTTTTGTTCTTCAGTCTAGTTGTGGAGGACATTGCCCGACTGACCCAAGCTGGCACCATCATTGCGCTCTTCCTGTGCGAGGCAGATCAGTCACCGGCTTCTGGACGGCCACTCACAGAAGCTACTGGCCGCTCACGATGGCTGCTGGCCACACACGGTAGCCCAAGGCAACCCACTGCAGCAGGGGCTGCTGCCTACACCGTCGCCGGCGACTCATGGCAGCCCAGCTCCAGGTTGAGCTGTTGTTCAGCATCTTAGCTGCAGAGGTCAGCGTCACTGGCCCGCATATGTGGGATCCAAACTGGGGCCCTCTGGTGTCCCAAGCCAGCTCTTAATCAATGCGCCACTCGGCCGGCCCAATAAATATTTTTTGAATGTATGAACAAACGAATAAGAGGGTATAACAGGGATTTGATTTAGATAAATGGTCAGGAAAGGTTTTTCTGGTGAATTATAATTTAATCAGAGATCTGACAGATAAGATGTAGCTTCCCAGGTGAAAGACAACAGGCTGTATTAAGACTTCAAGAAAGAAGAGTGTGGCACATTGGAAACCCCTAAAAAGGGCTGCTGGGTCTACAGGAGATGGATAGGAAGATAGAGAGCTGGAGACATAGGCCAAAATCAGACAATGTTGAGCCTTCTAGATCAAAGATTTTTAGCTTTATCATAAGTGCAATGAGGATACTTGAGACATTTTTGGTTGATGTTTCATTTGCATTAAAACCATAGCTTCTGCTCTTTCCCCATGAGTGCTAGGGAATATGGTCTAGACATTTCCCTTTCTTTTAAATCTACCACCAACCACCTCTTCTTGTCTCAATTTCCTTTACCTAGGGTTTCCTGAGCAACTAGAGATGGGAGAAGAAAGGGA